TATACAGTAACTGTGTAAATTTGCTGTCCCCTCAAAATAACTCAACACACAGCCATTAATGTCTAAACCGCTGATAACAGCACTGCCTTAACCCTCTTGGGCATGGAGTTCACCAGAGCTTCACAGGTTGCCACTGGAGTCCTCTTCCACTCCTCCATGATGACATCACAGAGCTGGTGGATGTTAGAGACCTTGACCTCCTCCACCTTCCAGTTGAGGATGCCCCACAGATGCTCAATAGGGTTTAGGTCTGGAAACATACTTGGCCAGTCCATCACCTTTACCCTCAGCTTCTATAGCAAGGCTGTGGTCGTCTTGGAGATGTGTTTAGGGTCGTTATGTTAAAAAAAATCTGCCCTGTGGCCCAGTCTTCGAAGGTAGGGGATCATGCTCTACTTCAGTATGTCACAGTACATGTTGGCATTTATAGTTCCCTCAATTAACTGTAGCTCTCCATTGCTGGCTGCACTCATGCAGCCCCAGACCATGACACTCCCACCACCATGCTTGACTGTAGGCAAGGCACACTTGTCTTTGTACTCCTCAGCTGGTTGTCACCACACACAAACCAAATAAGTGTATCTTGGGCTCATCAGACCACAGCACATGGTTCCAGTAATCCATGTCCTTAGTCTGCTTGTCTTCAGCAAGCATCCTTCTGGGATGACAGCCATGCAGACCAATTTGATGCAGTGTGCGCAGGGGCGGACTGACAACTCATGGGGCCCCCGGGCAATAGGGGATAATGGGGCCCCTGTGTCCTTGCCCAAACTCAAAAAAGCCTATGAAAAAAAGGTACCAGGGAAATCTCATGGGGTCCTCTACTGACCCCAGGCCCTCGGGCAGTGCCCGAGTTTCCAAATGGTCAGTCCGCCCCTGAGTGTGCGGCATATGGTCTGAGCACCGACAGGCTGACCCCCCACCCTTTCAACCTCTGCAGCAATGCTGGCAGCACTCATATGTCTATTTCCCAAAGACAACCTCTGGATATGAAGCTGAGCATTTGCACTCAACTTCTATGGTCGACCATGGCGAGGCCTGTTCTGAGTGGAACCTGTCCTGTTAAACCACTGTATGGTCTTGGCCACCATGCTGCAGCTCAGTTTCAGGGTCTTGGCAATCTTCTTATAGTCTAGGCCATCTTTATGTAGATCAACAATTCTTTTTTACAGGTCCTCAGAGAGTTCTTTGCCATGAGGTGCCATGTTGAACTTCCAGAGACCAGTATGAGAGAGTGAGAGCGATAACACCAAATTTAACACACCTGCTCCCCATTCACACCTGAGACCTTGTAACACTAATGAGTCACATGACACCGGGGAGGGAAAATGGGCCCAATTTGGACATTGTCACTTAGGGGTGTACTCACTTTTGTTGCCAGCGGTTTAGACATTAATGGCTGTGTGTTGAGTTATTTTGAGGGGACAGCAAATTTACAGGTTATCCAAGCTGTACACTCACTACTTTACATTGTAGCAAAGTGTCATTTCTTCAGTGTTTTTTATATGAAAAGATATAATAAAATATTTACAAAAATGTGAGGTGTGTACTCACGTCTGTGGGACACTGTAGTTGACCTAGGTCACTGATTGAAACTACTGAAGTCAGTTGGGCAGTATAACAGCCAGGCCACTGGCATTTTCAGAAAGTAGTCCTCAGTGGCAACTTACATACTGCCTGTGGTATAATCTCTGCAGCACTTGACCCTGATCCATAAAGCCTGACTGCTTGGTCAGTTGACCTCAACCAGGTCCTTCCTTCCCTGTCTAGGGCTGCCTGGAAGTAAACTAAGGGGGTACTCAATCTGGGCACAGTTCCCCCCATTCCCCACTGATCTGCGCTCACATTGTACCTGAAAGGAAGCGTTCTCAGGTACACTTCCATCATCATCTCTACCAACCAGTCCACAGTGTTCCCTGCTTTTGTGATCAGTAATCTATAGAGAGTTCTGTGCTCAAGCGTAATTTTTGCTCAGAATGAAGTGTACCAGATCAGACCACAAATAAACCATACCCAGGACCAACTCTTCGAAGTGGTCTCAAGCCTGATACGCTTACCGGTTCCTTGGCAAGGTTTAGAGCACTCAAGCTACACAAATGAGTTGAACCAAGGGGTGAACTGTGCTAGGTACGATTATAACTGTCAGTGTGAGTAGACCCTAAATAGAAATCTTTGTCCATGAAGTCGAAGTATGATTGATCATTTGACACCGACAAAATACACTCTCTACAGGAAATGCAGGCTACTAGTGGACCAGATAGTAGGACTAGCAACTCAAATTATATAAATCTGAATTAGGGTAGTATTTACAGATGGCTCTTTTATAATATGACTGTTCTTACTGAGTCCTTATTGCTGGCTGGATACTGGATGAAGATTTCTCCCCACCCTCAGCATATTCATTAAATGCAGAGCTTTTTTTTTCCAGATGCACTACCACTGTGACCAGCTGAAGCATATCCTTCTCCTCCAGAGAATCCCCTCAGGGCCAGGAGATGCAGCAGTTATATGCTCCATGCTATTAGTGGATTCTCCATGGGAACATACCAAGAATTTACTTAGGCTGGGGAAATACGACTATGTTCTGTGGATGGTAGAAGACCTCCCTAACAAGAATGGAACAACAGAAAAACACAGAAATATCTCCTGTTGATTCAATGTTTATGGTACTGAGAAAGCTTGCTAGTTAAAGTGATTGGATACCTGAAATTTCTACAGGTTTAGACAAACAATAGCAGGTCTAGGAGTCATAAAATTTAACAAAAGACATCCTTCAGGACCATTGTTTACTGAAATTTAAATCAGCTAGGATGGGTTTTTTCTGAAGATTCTGTTTTCTTCTGGTAAGAGATAAGCATGGTGATGCAAGTCACAGTGTTGGGTTGAAAAATTGTAAGGATTGTTTTTTTTTTAAAACTGCAAACAAGTTATAGGTACTTCTAAATATAATTTGCTAATAGAACCCAAATACTAACAAGATGGTGGCACAATAATTAACCATGCTGACCTAAATCAGAAGTCTGTAGTCAATATCTTACTTGGCTGTTGATCGTTTTGGACTATTTATGCTGTTCTTATGAAATTTACATCTCACAGTCCAAAGTATTATAGTACAATATACATTAGTAAAGGGGTTGTATGGCTTTACTGCCCACAGTTGTTGGAGGAACAATAGATTGTATGCTCCTGTGCCAGGTCTGATATGAAGGTGCTGAAACCATCAGTGTATCAAAATAAGAAATAGAAGATACACAAACTATAAACACAAGCCTTTCTTATCCAGGGTTCCTCCAGAGGACGCTTGGGATTCCTTATAGCCCAAGTTTAGTTTACAAAAAAAAGTGTGATATGTACTCCAAAGACATGCTGGCAGGTTAATTGGATCCTGTCTAAATTGGCCCTAGTATGTGTATGTATGAATATGAGTTAGGGACCTTAGATTGTACGCTCCTTGAGAGTTAGGGACTGATGATATACAATATATATATATATACAGTATATATATGTAAACCGCTGCATAAATTGACAGCGCCTTATAAGTACCTGAAACAAATAAATATGTGGGTAATGGCTGAAGAATTGGGTAAAATCTCCCATCCTCTGATCCCCTTCTGCTACCCTTGCAGTAGACCTCTGGTGCTCTGGGGATTAATAGAGTTGAGGGACCTGTCATATGCATTCATGGAGAGTGCGGACTACACCTTGCCCCCCCCCTTCATAGAAACTGTACTGTATTATGAATGAAAAACGAGCTATGAATGGAGGAAGCAGATCTTTCATTCCCACTGCCTATCATGCTAATGGACTGTGAGCTGTAGATATAGCAGTTATTAGCATGAGTTTCCTCAGACTGGAAAGTTATTTCAAGGAGTTCTTCATGTAAAAAAAAAAAAAAAGTTGAAATTGAAGCGTCCCACCACTCCTAAGAAGTCCAGCTACAATTTTATTCCATTAAGAGTCAGGGAGACAATTCAAAAAGTATCCAACACATTTTGGGGGTCTAAAGCACTTAGACCCCCGAAATACGTTGGGTACTTTTCGAATTGTACTGGAATAAAGTTGTATCTGAACGTATTTGTAGTGGTGGGGCACTTCATTGTCAGCTCTTTTTACATTACACTAAAAGCCAATGAGACTGTGGAGATCCTCTGGGGTGTAGAAGCCGCCTGCCAAGGTACCAGATCATTTATACCAACATCAATACCATAAGATAGCAATACCAGTAAAATAAACCTACGGGTTCAGCGCTATCCTTCCACTTTCCTCCATGTTAAAAAAGGTTGAGGATGTTTTTTTGGAATGGTAATCAGTATGTGGCATATCCACACTTATTGGCAAACATACCATCTTCTCTCTGTATTCTACCATTGTGAAAAACACTTGACATTGAATGTGACCCGTTGCATTCAAAGCGAAGGAAAAACAATTTTATTGCCATAGCAACAGCATAATGGAAGAATGAAAGATTCTGTATGTTTTCTATGGGTAAAAAGAAAATGTCTACTTTCAGATAACGATACCCAAGGCCCAAAAACTTGATGTATAACCAGGAAATATGACAGTATACCGTATTTTTCGCTCCATAAGACACACTTTCCCCCCCCCAAAATATGGGGGGAAATGTCTGTGTGTCTTATGGAGTGAATATTGACCAGGACCCAACCCCCCCCCTCCCCACTACTGTGTTAGAATACCGGGTCGGCCCCTCGGCTCTTCAGTGGCAGATGAGAGGAGTCCATGTCAGCAGTGCAGCAGCGCCAGGCAGGGCCCAAGCTGAAAAAAAAAGTCAGCAGCTACAAAAACTGTTGCTGCTGACTTGTAAAATACAGCCACTTACCTGTCCCTTGGTCCAGCGGTGTTCCTCACCACCGCTGGTTTTACCGGCCGTCTTCTCTCCCTGGCGCTGGCATCTTTAGTGTGGACAGCTTGCGGCTTCACAGCCGGGTGCCCACTGTGCATGCGCGAGAAGCGCTGCGCTTTGTGAATGGCCCAGTAGTCCTCTGGAACCTGTCACGTGTCCCAGAACACTACGGGGAGGGAGGGAGGACTTCTGATTCCGATAGCCTAGGTGATCACAGTGGAATTGGGAGCAGGTACCTGTCAAATTCGGGTACCCGCTCCCACTCCCCAAAGGTCCGCAGTCTCTGGTCATCTCCTGAGCTGTGTCCGCAGTCTCTGGTCATCTCCTGTACTGTGTCCGCAGTCTCTGGTCATCTCCTGTACTGTGTCCGCAGTCTCTGGTCATCTCCTGTACTGTGTCCGCAGTCTCTGGTCATCTCCTGTACTGTGTCCGCAGTCTCTGGTCATCTCCTGTACTGTGTGTGTCGCAGTCCTCTGGTCATCTCCTGTACTGTGTCCGCAGTCTCTGGTCATCTCCTGTACTGTGTCCGCAGTCTCTGGTCATCTCCTGTACTGTGTCCGCCGTCTCTGGTCATCTCCTGTACTGTGTCCGCAGTCTCTGGTCATCTCCTGTACTATGTCCACAGTCTCTGGTCATCTCCTGTACTGTGTCCACAGTCTCTGGTCATCTCCTGTACTATGTCCACAGTCTCTGGTCATCTCCTGTACTGTGTCCGCAGTCTCTGGTCATCTCCTGTGCTGTGCCCGCAGTCTCTGGTCCAGGGGCAGACTGACAACTCATGGGGCCCCCGGGCAATAGGGGATCATGGGGCCCCTGTGTCCTTGCACAAACTCAAAAAATCCTATGAAAAAGGTACCAGGGGCATCTCATGGGGCCCCCTACTGACCCCGGGCCCTCGGGCAGTGCCCGAGTTTCCATATGGTCAGTCCGCCCCTGCTCTGGTCATCTCCTGTACTGTGTCTGCAGTCTCTGGTCATCTGTACGGTGTCCGCAGTCTCTGGTCATCTCCTGTACGGTGTCCGCAGTCTCTGGTCATCTCCTGTACTGTGTCCGCAGTCTCTGGTCATCTCCTGTACTGTGTCCGCAGTCTCTGGTCATCTCCTCTCCTGTACTGTGTCCGCAGTCTCTGGTCATCTCCTGTACTGTGTCCGCAGTCTCTGGTCATCTGCTGTACTGTGTCCGCAGTCTCTGGTCATCTGCTGTACTGTGTCCGCAGTCTCTGGTCATCTGCTGTACTGTGTCCGCAGTCTCTGGTCATCTCCTGTACTGTGTCCGCAGTCTCTGGTCATCCCCTGTACTGTGTCCGCAGTCTCTGGTCATCCCCTGTACTGTGTCCGCAGTCTCTGGTCATCCCTGTACTGTGTCCGCAGTCTCTGGTCATCCCCTGTACTGTGTCCGCAGTCTCTGGTCATCTCCTGTACTGTGTCCGCAGTCTCTGGTCATCTCCTGTACTGTGTCCGCAGTCTCTGGTCATCTCCTGTACTGTGTCCGCAGTCTCTGGTCATCTCCTGTACTGTGTCCGCAGTCTGGTCATCTCTGTACTGTGTCCGCAGTCTCTGGTCATCTCCTGTACTGTGTCCGCAGTCTCTGGTCATCTCCTGTACTGTGTCCGCAGTCTCTGGTCATCTCCTGTACTGTGTCCGCAGTCTCTGGTCATCTCCTGTACTGTGTCCGCAGTCTCTGGTCATCTCCTGTACTGTGTCCGCAGTCTCTGGTCATCTCCTGTACTGTGTCCGCAGTCTCTGGTCATCTCCTGTACTATGTCCGCAGTCTCTGGTCATCTCTGGTCCGCATCTCTGGTCATGTCCTATACTATGTCCGCAGTCTTTGGTCATCTCCTGTAGTACATCCGCAGTCAGTGGTCATTTCCTGTACTAGGTCTGCAGTCCATTGGTTCAGAATATTTTTTTTCTTGTTTTCCTCCTCTAAAATCTAGGTGCATCGTATGGTCAGGTGTGTCTTTTGGAGTGAAAAATACAGTATATTGTACAAAAAAGGCAGAAAACTGAACAGTTTATGATCAGTTGTAAAGTTTCTACTTAAAAAAAAAATTACTGTAAAGGGCAGTTTTTATTCTAAAAACTGGAGTAGCTCAGATATTCCCATAGAAGGGAAAGGAAATGGAATTATTGCAAACAATGAACCCTGTGCACTAACATTATGGTGGTCTTCTAAAGGAAATCCATGCTCGAACCATGGCAGACCAAGGGGGTTAAAATAAAAGTTTATACAAACGAGAGCTGTGCTGTCTGATCCTCTCCAGAAATTCAGAGCTAAAACATAAAAGAACATTAACACTTTATCGGGCCAAGTACTCCGAAGCTCAGTTCTTTTACCTTCCTACCAGACCCGTACTTGTGGAAGAGCCACATAGGCAGGCACAATATTTCGGCAGCTATGATCTTATAGATTTTTGTAATTTCCTGGAATAAAAATTGAATCACAAAAGGTTTAACTTATTATTCTTATTTTTAGTGTGCGGACATAAACATCTGCGCTGGCAGAGGAATAGCCCAATAAAGCGGACTAGGAGGCCAAATCATCGAAATCCGCCTCGATTCTCACCACTTTTCTATGAACCTGTATACACTGTACATGGCGGTCCTTCCTGTTGAACGGCAGGCATTTTAAAGCGACAACATGGGTTAATTTCATGGCAGCGGTGTTCTATGACTTACCAGTTGTGGGCAGAGCAGACCAGTCTCTTTGCGGCTCTCTTCTGTCTCCATGTGTTGCTGTGGCCTCACAAGCCCCCAGTCCCCCAATTCACACACCTGGTTGGAGATGTCGGGGTCCTGGGCGACTCATTTTATGGTGGTGCGTCTGGCCCATCGCAGGCGTTGAGGGGCACACAGTGAGTTGCTTGTTCTGAACTCAGAATTCTCTTTATGCGAGTTTGGCAGCTTCAACGTCTTCTTCCCATCCCGCTCCAGGAATGCTTCCAGCTTGCCAGATGCTGCAGGAAGTTCAGGGAAAGTAACTGTCCTCCTCGGTCAATGGCTAATCCTCTCTCAATGATTCCTCTACGTCCAGCTTATTTCACAGCTCCCAAGACTTGTGTGCCTTTCTCCTTCACTGGCCTGAACTCCCTCCCTTCCTTAGTTCAGTGTATGACCTCCTCTCCCTCACTCCTCCTCTACATGAAACTCACCCCCTCTATTTGTATGCACTTCTCAGTCAATATCTAACCAGCCCCTCTGCACAGCCATGCCATTTGCTCAAGGAGGCTGCCTGCCTGATTGCCTGCAGAGAGTGTCAGCTGTGGGGGGAGGCTGGCTGATGCTTCCTATGACACATGGACAGAGAAGGGTTTCCAATGTATCCAGAGGGAAGACTGGGAGGGAGGAGCACCACAAATGTCTGAAAGAGACAAGGCACAGATGGAAGCTGACGACTAGGGAAATTCCTTCTGGGCAAATAAAGTAAATGTAGAAAGAAGTTTTTTCTAGTGTAGCTTGTAAGAAATTCAAATACAATAAAATGTTAGAAGTTTTCATTCAATTTTCTGTCCTTGGGGTCAAATCACCAGTCGTTTCCGACAGCAGTGACAACAGAATTCGAAGGAGCAGTACGGAAAATTTGTATGGGGTTATTCCTTTGGCAACGGCCATTTGTTCCAAAATCATGTTAATCAATGTACTTTCCAATAACATTCATTAAGTCATGAATGTACTGAGAACATTTGTACGAATTTTCCAACGAATGTTATTTTTCAAATTCTAATAGTTTCTAGTATAGAGCTTAAAGCTGAACAAGAGAGATCTTTAGATTTCCCCTCCCTCCATCCATGCTAAACAACAAAGATGAATCTGCAGCACTGGAAATTGTATTGTGACCGTCGGCAGCTGTGATTGTCAGAATACTCGAACAGTAACTGCTTCTGATTGGATGTAGGTGCTGTGCGGCTGTGAATTGTCTTCCAGGCTCTTTGACAAATGTGAACTGAAATACTTTTGTCAAGCCTTGTGGTACCACCAGGGCCAGGCACAGAACATAAATTGATCCGTGTTTGATGAGCATAAGAGCTTTACCTTTCATTAGTGGTGCTAAAGGCTGAAGATTTCTTACCTTATTTATTACAGGTATTTATTATATATATATATATTGTACATTCCCAGCAGTCCCTGCCCACAAGGAGCTTACAGTCTAAGGTCCCTATCTCTCATTCAGACGTACACATATTAGGGCCACTTTAGACAGGAGCCAATGAACCTACCAGAATGTTTTGGAGTGTGGGAGGAAACCCACACAGGCACACTGAAAACATGCAAACTCCAGGCAGGTAGTGTCGTGGTTGGGATTTGAACCAACAGCCCTAGTGCTGCTAGGGAGAAGTGCTCATTGGCTCAGACACAGCAGTGGGAGCCATTGCCTTCCGCTGCTGTCAGTCACAGCCAGTGAGGAGGGGTGGGGCCAAGCTGCACTGTGCAGGTCTTATAGACACAGAGAGGCGTCTCAGGAGTGAGCACGCACACGTGCCCCCCAGAGAGAGCTGCTCACTCTGGGGGTGCTCAGCAGGCAGAGGAGCCAGGAGTGCTGGCGCAGGACCCGAGAAGAGGAAGAAGCAAAACCATTGCACAGAGCAGGGAAGTATGTTTATCCGCCTCCCGTCCGCCATATAGTACAATGACGGGCGCAAGGCGGTTCTCTCGTTCTGGGAGGACGTTATATGACGTCCTCCCATTCTAACCGCGCATGCGCAGCTCCGGGTGCGTGCAGCGCGGCAATCACCTGTCAATGGAAAGAGCCGAAGATGTCGGCTCGGTCATGTGATCAGCTGTGTCCAATCACATTTGATCACATGTAAACAGGAAAATGCCGGTTATCAGCATTTCTCTCCTCACGAGCTGTCACACTGACAGCTCGAGAGGAGAGGAGAGCCAGTAATCTGCATTCTTCAGAGGGAACATCTACACTGATCATCAGAGCACTGATGATCAGTGTGCCCTGATGATCTGTGTAGCCCCAGCAGTGCCACCTGTCAGTGCCACCTGCCAGTGCCCATCAGTGCCACATCAGTGCCACATTTCAGTGCCTACCAGTGCACATCAATGCCACATATCAGTGCCCATCTGAGCTGCCTTTCAGTGTCACCCATCAGTGCCAGTCAGTGCCACCTATCAGTGCTGCTCAGTGCCACCTATCAGTGCTGCCTAATCAGTGCCAGTCAGTGCACCCTATCAGTGCCAGTGCCACCTATCAGTGTGCATCAGTGTGCCCATCAGTGCTGCCTATCAGTGGCGCCTAACAGTGCCAGTCAGTGCCACCTAACAGCGCCAGTCAGTGCTGCCTATCAGTGCCATATATGAATGCTGCCTTTCAGTGCCCATCAGTGATGCTTGTCAATGCCCATCAGTGCCACCTACCAGTGCCTCCTCATCAGTGCCCATCAGTGCCACCTATCAGTGCCCATCACTGCAGCCTCATTAGCGCACATCAGTGAAGGAGAAAAATCACTTATTTACAAAATTTTATAACAAAAACTAAGAAAAAACTTTTTTTTTTCAAAATTTTTTCAGTGGTTTTTGGTTTAAGAAAAAATAAAAAACCCAGAGGTGATTAAATACCACCAAAATAAAGCTCTGTCACAAAAAAATGCTAAAAATTTCATATGGGTACAGTGTTGCATGACCGCGCAATTGTCATTCAAAATGTGACAGCGCTGAGAGCTGGAAATTGGCCTGGACAGGAAGGGGAAATAGGTGCCCTGTAGGCTAGTGGTTATTATTTTATATATATATACTGTATATTAAAAAAAAAAAAATCTCTGAACCTTTCGGCTGCATTCACACTTCAGCATTTTGTAGTTTGAAGATTGAAGCTCCACAAAAGCACAAACTTAAACATTCAATTGTTCTCCATGGTGCCTGTTCACACCTGATTACGAAAACAGGTACCACAGAGAACAATTGATTTTTTTAAGTTTGAGCTTTTTTTGGAGCTTCAAGCTACAAAACGCTCAATTGTCAATGCACCCTTAGTATCACTTTAAGCTGGCATAGATGGATTGAAATTTGGCCAGTTCAGCAGTGACCAGATACGTTTCGATCCAGGTACAGTATGGCTGTTCCCATTCAACAGAAGTCTATCGTTAGATCAGCTTCTGTCAAACTGAAATGTTGGAAAACTTCTCGATCATAGGCTGCAGCTGCTGATTGGTATATTCTGACATTAGAAAGTCCCACTGTCAGAATACAATGTCCCAGCGAGGCGGATTCCTCCATCCAACTCGCTTGTGCGAATGGAGGATTCCCCTCTTTTTCTTTCACTCAGCCCACCAGCTGATAAAAAAAAAAATTATCTATGGCCAGCAGCTCTAGAACCAAAACTTTTTTTAGTAGGAGTAGGAATTGTTTCTGTCTCTTTTAGCAAATTATCTTCTCTTTGTGTTTCAAGACACAAAAGGATTTCTCCAAAGGAAGGGACATCCTTTCTTAAGCTGGCCATAGATGGATTGATATTTGGCCAGTTCATTAGGGACTGACCAAATTTTGATCTGTCTATGACCATTCCTGTATGAGAGAAGTCAACTGAGTGATCAACTGGGGCAGCACAGTGGCTAAATGGTTAGCACTTACGCCTGGCAGTACTAGGGTTGTTGGTTCAAATCCCAGCCACCTCCTCCCTGGAGTTTGCATGTTCTCCCTGTGCCTGGGATTGCTCCGGGTACTCCTGTTTCCTGCCACACGCCAAAGACATGCTGGTAGGTTATTTGGATCCTGTCTAAATTGGCCCTAGTATGTGTATGTATGAATGTAGGTTAGGGACCTTAGATTGTACACCCCTTGAGGGTTAGGGGCTGATGTGAATGTACAATATATATATGTAAAGCTCTGTGTAAATTGACGGCACTATATAAGTACCTGAAATAAATAATAACTTCTCACAGATGAGCTTGTTGGAAAATGTTGGTCCAATTTTTGTTTTTTGAACAGCGTATTCTAACAGCACTGCCAGAATACAACAAAGTGGGAGGGATTCCTCTATCCACCTCTTTTGTGTTTATGGGGGAATTCATTAAGTTTTTTTTTTATCAGCCCACTGGTTGATTGAAAAAAACTGAGCCATGTATGGCCAGCTCAAGTGCTCATTCATACATTTTATTTCACTTTCATTTACTACATCATTGCAATGTGTTATGGTGCATTATGTAGTGTGTTACTGTATGTCTGCCTACTTCTGCAGGCAGCAATTTTAACTGAAGTGAAGTCAATAGAAAATATCCCCCTAGGGATCGAAATTGGAAAAAAAAAAAAAAACAAAACAGTAAAGCGGCTCAACACTTGTAAGCCAGATGTCAAACACAGTCTTAAAGGCTATCTAACTCAAATCACTTTTCAGAGGGCTGCCGCTCATATGAATGAAGCCAAAGGCGGTCCATTCATTTTGAAAGGACTTGTAGTACATCTCAATACACAATACAGCTGCAATATTTTTAACAATGCAGTGCACCACAACGCACACTATGTACATTGTAATATGCTGTACTACAGGTGGTTTGGGAGCTACTGTACATGTGTGTTGGAGTGAATGATGTAAATTACACCACAACACACATAGTACCATATACTCATATGGGTCTATAGACAGTTGTCGCTTGAGCAAATCTCCATTAGTGATGGGGAATCTGCCCAGGTTCCATTCACTAAGGGTTCAGAGAATCTTGATCAAAATTCTGCAGATGCGAATTTAGTGGGAGAATCGTATTGAAGTCTATGAGAGCTGAATCTTGATAAATTCTGTCCATTTTAGGCACATTGCTCTAAAAAAGGCATGGCAACATTGAAAATACACAAGTCTTTGAAATTCCACGGTTGTGGGAGGTCTTAAAGTTTCACACGCACGGCCTCAGCAATATATGTACACTGGCAGAGCATATAGTCTGCGGAATTGATTTTCTTTTTTTTTTTCTTCACACAGTTAGCTTTGCTTACATACAACAACAGCACCCAATCTGATATGTTTCAGTTTGAAAAAAAGTCTACAGCAACATAAAGAAAAAAAAAAAAAAAAAAGACCCCAAATTAATTACCACCCCTGAAACATAGTCAACAAAGGGCAGCAAAACAAAAAGAAAAAAAAACACAAAAACCAGTTGAACCTAAAATAAAGGCCCTGTAAAAATCAAATTAACCGTTTGCCCTCCAGAGGATTTACCCCCCCCCCCCCCTCCTGACCAGGCCATTTTCTGCAATACACCACTGTGTTACTTTAACTGACAATTCCATGGTCATGCAATGCTGCACCCAAATTAAATTTATGTCCTTTTTTCCACACAAATAGAGCTTTCTTTTGGTGGTATTTGATCCTCTGCGGTTTTTTATTTTTTTTGCAGTATAAACAAAAAATGACTGAAAATTTTGAAAAAAAAAAAACCAAAACAATATTTTTGACTTTTTGCTATAAAACATATCTAGCAAAAAAACAAAAACAAATTTCGTCATAAATTTAGGCCAAAATGTATTCTGCTGCATGTCTTTGATAAAAAAAAAAAAAAAATCCCAATATGTGTAAATTAATTGGTTTACGTGAAAGTTATAGCATCTACAAATTGTGGTATATGTATTGGAATTTTTGGGCTTTTTTATACTAGTAGTGGTGGCAATCAGTGACTTATAGCAGGACTGCGGAGGGCATTCTGCCACTGGGGCGGAACTAACTGCCACTGACATCCCCAGTGACACTAATACAGTCATCAGTGCTAATCAAAAGCACTGACCCTGTACGAATGACAGTGGGCAGGAAGGGGTTAACATCTGGGGCAATCAAAGGGTTAACTGTGTGTTGCTTTACTGTGTGCTATACTAGGGAAACATACTGCTGTGTATTTCCATGTTGTGCAGAGAAATACACAGGAGTATGTTACTGCTGGAAGGAGAAAGACTCAACGATCGACAGGTGTTGGCGGGGAATCTCCAGCTGGGACCCGGTGATCAACATCGAAATGCAAAACCATATATATATACACACATATATATATATACACACACACACATGATTTTGCGCAGCCCTGCCGCCCTGTAGTAGTAGTTCTACTATAGGGTGGTTGGAAAGCAGTTAAAAAACAAATTGCAGCCAGGACTATAGTTGATGTGGACTTTTGGATTTTCCTCCTGTTGCGCATTCTTCTGTGGAACTGGCAGAGCTAAGTTGAATGGTTGATTACAAATGCAGTAGCCATTTTCATAAAGCCCCTTAGTCGAACATTCAATAATACAGAAATGTGGCAGCCATCTTTAAGTAGACCACTGGGGGCAGCCATTTTGGTGGTGTCTGGTTCTATCTAAAAAGAGAGGAGCTGGAGAGGCATAGTGAGGACACTCATGGTGAGGGGGTGCAGGAGTGTGTTCAGGAACGGAGCTGCCTATGGACAAGGTACCCCACTGCTGGGGGTTGTCCTCAGAGTGTGTTTGCCGTTCTGCTGCTGGAGACAGTAACCAGATGTTCCCGGGACCCTGTTGCAAGTGGCTGTCACCCAAGAACACTTCCACTAAGCCAAGGGTCAAGGCACTGTTCCAAGCTTTGAGTCTACTCCCTGGGTGCCATTCAGTGAACACCTTGTGTGACTGGACTGCTTGGTAATGCCTCCCCTCCCCCTGCTGATGATTGGGTTATATTAAAGTGTGTGAACACAGACATTCTGTGAGTGAACACGGGACTGGTAAGAGCTCACACATCAGCAAGCTGAATTTCTTTTCTATTGAGACTTTAGAGCAAGGGCCACTTAAGTGATTTGGTGACCGGTCGTGGGCCACCGTGAAATAAAATGGTTCAGAATTTAATTTTTTTTTTTTATTTTGAATAGCATAATGATCATTTTCTGCCTGCAGCCCCTGAATGTCAGGGGGCGGGAGAGGAGGAAAATGTGGCTTTCAGTGGTTGCAGGAGGAAAATGGAGATGATCGGTTCCTGTAAATGCCTCTTCTCCGGTCTAAGTGTAAAACAGAATGTGTCAGGGAGGCCACACAGGATCCCTGGAGCATGGGGTGGGGTCGCCATTGTAATTCCTGGCGCTACATCAGTGGTTGGGGGGTAAAAACAGTTATCAACTATGGGGATTTACTGCCCCCAAACTGCAAATGGAAACAAGCCCTTAGTGTCCTGAGCCCCCGATGAGGTTGCTTTCACACGGATGCGCTGCGGTTTACCCACACTGCGGGTGCTGCACAATGCACCTGCGGCTTTCCAGCGGGGTTAGTTGCACTTTGCGATAGACTTCTATTATATCTTGAATATAATATCGGATGTGCACTTTCTGAAAGCGCACCAAACCCGCAG